ATATATATATATATATATATATATATATATATATGGATATCCACAAGCTTTCCACTTACTTGTTTATGAATATAAATATTGATCTGAGTACTTATTTATAGGTATTTATAGAACTTACATAATTATAACTGTGCTGTTTAATGGATTTTGAATAGTGAGTGTTCTATAACCTATGAAAAATTCTGCTCATCAGCACTACGTGCCGATCACTTTACCAGCTATTGGGAGAGAATTTCTTATTTTAAACAAGTCTATCTATCAAAATTCCTTTATTTTTTAGAATTTGTATTTTTCCAAATTTTGCAGTACAGTCCTCTGGAAAGGGAAATGTGGATTAGAAATAGATATATTAGTGAAAATAATATCCAAGTTGTATTCTAAATTAACTTAAATATTTTTCAAAGTGTCAAATATTTAGCATTATTGCATACAAATGTGTTTATTAAGCAACATGCTTCACAGGTTTTAAAAAAAATCTCCAACTGATGTGCAGATAAAAAATAAATTTCAGGTCGATAGCATTAAAAACTGACAGTACCCCACATAAATAGATTGGTTCATCCCTAATTATCTTCCATGTATTTTATGGAATTCATGTGTATAAGTAAACTACACATTGATACACATTGGACACTAAGAGTTCTTTTATCAGCATCCTGAAATTGCCTATATGTACCATGAATGCTGTGCTTGAAAGGTTGCCTTTCAATGACTCACATGTAAATGTTTAAACAAAAAACACAAATGGAGAATAAAGTTTAATATTTACTGAAGAAAAAAGTCAGCATTCTTTTCAGTCTCTGACACAAATATTAAACTTTGTCACAACCTTATTATAGCACTTCTTTGTTTTTCGTCCCAAATCTTTTTCTCTTTGTTTTATGGAAAATATAGATCATAAGGAGTTACCGTAGAAATGCCAACTTTGGATGCCAAGTTGGTTCCTTGCCTTTTAAAACTGTGATTGTAAAGATGTAGATGTATGGTGTTATAATTTGTGTAACACCTTTAATATGCTTTTAAGTAACCTTGAACTAATTACTGAAAACAAGTAAAGTCTATTTGAAAAACTAGTTGGCTCTAATATAATTTCTTTGGCATAGTGAGTGGTGCTTGTGGTAACTTTGCCGCCGTTTAGACCAGGACATTAACAAGAGTCATCTGGATCTGGTGAGCTTTAGTCTTTTCAAAAATGCGGGTGGAGAAAGAGAAGAATGGCTCTGATTCTCTTCATAAATATTCACTTCTTTGTATGATACTCAAAGGATGCTATAGTTGTGAAAAGCATGTTCGTGTAATAAGAGGTTCTGATGTTTATTTCCCTTACAGTGATAAAGCAAGTGATTTTGCTAGCATGAACTCCCATTCTAGATGTTTGAGGAAAGCTGCTGGAGTGACCAGAAAAGATAAAATCAGAAATTTGACTATAAGAGAAAGAATTGGCATAAAACCAATCTTAAACTATGTACAAAAACAGCAAATAAAGTGGTTTGCTTACTGGAGAGGACATCATGGGATCCCATAGTGTACAAGGTAGATACAAAAAGAGGGGAAGATGAAATAAAATGAAGCAGACCATAAGAGGAAGATTGAGAGAAACATCAAAGACTCAACAGTAACATCTATTAACAGTGGTTGAGGCCGCCAGAAGAGCAAGAACCTGAATTTTGTATCTCCCTCAACATCTGAAGCTGTAAAAGAGGAAGTAAAGAACAACAACAAGAAAAAGCCCACATGCTTGATTCTTGCCACGGAAAGTATTCATTCAAGTATTATGAAGAAAAATAATCAAGTTCTAAGTAAGCTTAAAGAATAAAAAGACTGGCTTTATTCTTTTAACTTAACCAAAACACCATGAATTCTGGGACACCAAAAAGTATGAAGCAGCTATGACTTTCATTTTCAGTGTATCAAAACAATATTTTTGGATTCATACATAACATAGCATGGTGGTCACCAACTGCAGTATTATTTCCTGATACTTGGTCTTGGACAAACTTACATCTTTTGCAATCATTTAAATTTTACATGCTCAGTTGCAAGAAGAAGCATTTTCTAAATCATCATGTAAAAATTAAGAGCAGATGGTGACTGCATGTCTGGAGCTTTTAAACATCCAAATTCTAGCCAAAATACCCCTTACATTTGGTCACCCACATCAATTATACCACGAAACAAACACTTTCAGACACCCTACTGAACATCCAATCGTAAGAGACAAGGCCAAAACGGTCGGACCCCTCAATTTAGAATACAAAGTCCCAAATTATAACTATTCTGTAATCAAACACTGCCTTTGTCAAAATTGAATGCTTTTACT